AGAAAGAAAGAAAGAAAGAAAGAAAGAAAGAAAGAAAGAAAGAAAGAAAGAAAGAAAAGAAAAGAAAAGAAAAGAAAAGAAAAGAAAAGAAAAGAAAAAGAAAAACACCAAAAAACATCTGGTACTTGTCCTGACGGCTCCACCATCACTGTCGATTTAGCAGTTTGGAAATGCTCACGATTTTTTTTTTCTTTTTTTCGCATTTAAAGAACAGAGTAAACAAACAAAATATCTTCCTTCCTTGTATCATAAAGGTCCTCCTGATATTCTAAACCAGAGACTACTAGGGCTTGTTTTGCAACCCCCTGAGGCCAGATGAAACAGAGTTCTGAGCTTCTTAAGACTAGGGAGAAGTTCTCAAGTTTAATAAAACAAATTAATGCAAATTCATTTCACTTGAATAAAAGAAATTCCTTGCCACACACCACTTTTAGAAGAGGGGGATAGGTTGGGGTCAAATGAAATCAAATCACAGAACCTGCATTCCAGAAAGACTGAAATTGCTGATTAATACCGAAGTCCAAGACTGGAAGAAGACAGTCTATCTATAATTTATTCATAAATTGTCAACTCCTCCCAGACGAATTTTCAAATAAAACATGACGCTTGTTTAAATATTTGCTGGCTTGTTGACCTATTTTGTTGTCGTTGTTGTTGTTAATTGGAACTTTTTTTTTTAGGAAAGCAAACACGGTAACAGCAAATTAATCCAGACAACCTTGACAGAGAGATAGCTCATCCAGGCTACAGTCAGGCATTAAGTCATGTTTTACCAAAATTGTAGTATTCAAGGGGAGAAGTTAGTTAGAAATATCAGAAATAGACTCTAAATGCAAAAAGGTGAAGGCCTGCCCCATCCCCGATCTGTGGTTATCAAATTAACCCAAGCGATGTGAAAACGTTTGTTGAACATGCAGTTTTCAGCGTTTTTTCTGTTCTTTTCCTTTATATGTGTTTAGCCCCAAACCTCCTCCCTGTCCAAGAAGAGTCTGGCCAAACAATTCTTTAGCTGTTCCTACAAAACAAAAAGTTGTTTTAAGATGTTGCATTCATCTGAGTCCCTTGCCTTTTTAAAACTTCGAATGGCTTTGTGCTTGAGGAGGCGCCTTCAGGTTAAGTGAACACCTCCTACTCGCTCCCTCTAAGGCTTCTCTGAGGCCACGCTTAGAAGATCTTCGAGATCCCAGTAACAGAGGGGTTTTACGTCTCCTGACTGCAGGCCTGTGGACAGGCTCCAGCTGCCCTTGCCAAAAAAGAGTTTACTCAGAAAGTCTCATCAAAAAAAAAAAAGTC